GCCTGCCCTAGAGGCCAAAGCTGGACAGAGCCCCTGGCCCTGACGGAGGTGACCCCCAACCAGCCCACCCATCCAGGCCTCGGAAACTCTGCCCTCCCCTCCCAGCCACGCACTTCCGGTCGAACTCCTTGTAGGCGCTCTGCAGCCAGCCCAGGGACGGCTTGTTTCGGCTGTTCAGCCCACAGTGGAAGTACACGAGGCTGTAGTCATTTTCCACGTACTGGTCCAGTGTGTACTTCAGATACCTGCACACAAACACAAGACGTGGTGACCGAGCCCGTCTTTTATTGTCGAAATCAAGCATGTCGCCCCCTTTGGAACCTCACGGTCACCTCTGGGGCCAGCACTGGGCTATGTGGTGGGTGTTACAGCCAGGGCCAGGCACTAGGGGGCGCTATCTGTCCATTTTCAATGACAGCTGAGGTTCAGCAGCATTGAGGGACTTACCCGAGGTCATCTGGGATTTGAACCCAGGACCGTCGGACTCCACCGCCTGGCTTTTACCCACAAAGTGGCACCACTTGTCCCCCATCCCTCCTGTCCTGTGCCTCTGGAAGCCAGCAAGTCCTTCCCTCCAGGTCACTTCCTGACTTTTTTTCACAGGAAAGGCTGCCTCCGTCTGTCTGTGCCCTGCCTCTGCCGTCTGACCTTCTCCCACGGCACAAGCACAACACGGCTCCGTAGCTGCCTAGCCGTGATGCCTCCCTGCCACTCCTTGGAAAATGGCCTTGGTGTCAGGAAGTGAAAGCCCTCACGCAGCCACTTGTAGGGGTAAGGTCCCCAGGGCCGTGCAGAATTCCACCATCACATTGGCACTGCCCCTGTCGTGAGCCAGCCGAGACCTCGCCCACCAGGTCCCTCATGCCATCGCCCAGAAGCACACGTTCTAAGTGGCCCATGTGGAGAGGCCGTCTGAGTGCCACCACCGCAGACAGGATGTGCTGGCCTGGTTCTCTGGACGGGATGACAGAGACCAAGGACACATTCACCAGCAGCGTTTCACTGCCCCCCACGTCCCTAAGCATGTCAGCACTCCCAGGAACTGCCTAGTTCAGCGTGTACGTCATACAGCAGCTTTGAGAGCGGCTCCCAGCAGGGAGTAAGCAGCGCAAACAGGTGCGAGCAGCCCAGCTCCCTGCCTTGGCACAGGAGTGAGTGCTGGCCAGCAGGGACCGGCGCCCACCATGAAGGCTGCCCTTGCTCTGTTTCTTCTCTGAGCAGAGCGTTGCCCACCCAGAGCCTTAGGGTGAGCTGTGCCTGTGCTCGAGACCCAAGCACATGCAACTGTGAAATGGGGGGTCGTGGTTGTTAGGTGCCGTCAAGTCAGCCCCGACTCATAGCGACCCGCGTACAACAGAATAAAACCTGCTCAGCCCTGCGCCAGCCTCACAATCCTTCCTAGGCCTGAGCCCAGCATTGCAGCCACTGTGCCAGTCCATCTTGTTGAGGGCCTTCCCCTTTTTTGCTGACCCTCCACTATACCAAGCATGATATCTCTCTCCAGGGAACGGTCCCTTCTGACAACATGACCAAAGTAGGTGAGATGAAGTCTGGCCATTCTCGCCTCCAAGGGGCATTCTGGCTGCACTTTGTCCAGGACAGATTTGTTAGTTTCCCTGCCAGTCTATGGTACTGTCAGCATTCTTTACCAGCACCGCAACTCAAAAGCATCAACTCTTTGGTCTTCCTCATTCACGGTCCAGCTCTCACATGACTATGAGGTGACTTGAAAACACCATGGCTTGGGTCTGGTGCGCCTCAGTCTTCCCATGGGATGGGTTACTATCTGCCAAGTGATGAGACTCCACCCCCGTGGGTGGTGACAGGTCATTTGCCTGATCATCCACCCAGGAGCACTCCAGGACCTCACAGCCCTGGGGCTGTGGACAGACAGGGAGCTCTTGCTTTCCCCAGGTGCCCTGCAAAGGCCCCCTGCCCAGATGCTGGTGCAAACCAGAGTCCCAGAGCCGCTTCCATAGAACAATCCAGCGGCCTCAGCCTTTCCGCCGTGCGTGGCCGGCCCCGCATCGCTGGGAGCCCTCACAGGGGTCGTCCCCACGCACAAAGGATGTCATTTGATGCCTAAGTGACATCGAAGTGCCCTCTGGCAAAAGCACCAACTACATGAACTGTATGGAGCCCTGGTGGCCCAGCAGGTAAGGGCACAGCTGCAAACTAAATAGTCGCCAGTTCAAACCGCCCCCCCCCCAGTGGCTCTGCGGGAGAGAGACCTGGCGAGATGTCCTTCCAAACATCACAGGTGAGAAAACCGCCTGGGGCTGTCTACCACCACAGCACACGAACTGCAGCCCGAGTACCCTTACCTATAATTCTCACGGCAACCCTATGAGAGCTCTGGTGGCGCAGTGACTGCTAACCAGAAGGCTGGCGGTTCAAACCCATCAGTCACTCCTCGGAAGGAAGACTGAGTAATCTACCTCCATAGAGATACCGCCTCAGAAACCCAAGGAGGGGTTGCTATGAGTTGGCGTTGACTCAACAGCAATGAGTTTGGTTTTGGTTTTTTTGGCAACCCTGTAAAGGCAGGTAAGGCACTTGACTGCTAACCAGAAGGCTGGCGGTTCAAGCCCATCAGCCACTCCTCGGAAGGAAGACTGAGTAATCTACCTCCATAGAGATACCGCCTCAGAAACCCAAGGAGGGGTTGCTATGAGTTGGCGTTGACTCAACAGCAATGAGTTTGGTTTTGGTTTTTTTGGCAACCCTGTAAAGGCAGGTAAGGCACTTGACTGCTAACCAGAAGGCTGGTGGTTCAAACCCACCAGCCACTCCTCGGAAGGAAGGTTGGGCAATCTACTTCCATAGTGATACCGCCTTGGAAACTCAAAGGAGGGGTCACTATGAGTCAGGACCAACTCGACGACACATAACAACAACACAGGGCAGTCATGTGAGGCTCACAGAGTGAACCAGGAACGAAGAGGCAGAGCCAGGGTCAGAAGGCGGACAGCCTGGCTCCAGGGCCCACTCTCCAAGCTGCGCTCCTGCCTCCACAGGCCCAGGGGCCACCCACACCAGCACTGTCCCACCACCTGCTTCTATATACAAGAGAGGTGCCAACCGGATGTCCTCCCAGTTTGCAATGCCGGCTCGCCAGCCGGCCCCCAGATGTTCTCTGTGGATTGAAACGCCATCTGGATCAAGCAAATGGCTCCCATTTCAGTGAGATCCGCTTTCACCCAGCTACCCTCTCCACACACCCCAGTCGTGGGCTCCAGTCAACACAAAACGGTGGCAGAGGCCCCAAGCCCTGCAGACTCCTCCTGGCTTCTCCGTGGAGGCTCACGCCTGCATTTCCCAAACTACTCGAGTTCAGGAAGTGGGGAGTCAGGGAACGCCTTTGCATGGGTCTCATCCACACTGGGTACGTCCTCCCGGAAGCCGTGCCTTTCCTCTGACTGGGCACCCGACCTCATTCCCATAAATACATTTGACCACCTCTCGCACATGTGCTCCACACAGGAGGTTATGAACTAAGGTACTGGTCAGCTGCAAAGACACTGACTGGTGCCTGTGCCCATCTCAGAAACTGGCACATCTGGCCCAAGAAAGCCATGCGTCTGGCAGGGCTGGGCAGCAGGAGCCCCATGATTTTTTTCACAAAGGCCCTGGGATTTGCTGATCTTTAAGGCTCGTCCCATCAGGGCCAAGAAGTGCCTGGGTCCCTCTGTAGGAATGAGAAAAAGACGCCTGTCCTTCTGGGCTGGTGCAGGCTGGCACTGCGTTGGGGGCGGGGGCTCTGGCTGGATGCCCTTGTGCAATGAACAACATGCACAACTGTCCATGGCGGCTTTGCTTACCGCTTACCACAGCTTACCAAGGCATCACGGACAGTGCGTGGAGAAGCACAACAGACCACCGGCTGTGGTCAGAGGCCCCTCTGCCTTTACTCAGTCAAGCCTCGAGTTCCTCCCTGGCCAGCGGCACCTTGGTCAGAGCTGGCCCACAGGTCATGCACAACTAACTGGATGCCTCAAAATGGATAAGCTGCCAGGGAACGGGTGTCATCACTGAGGATCCCAGAACACGAGCTCCTCAGGGTCTGGCCTCTCTCTCTGCCTTCTGAGAGCCGTAAACACCACGGTGGTGCCTTCAGCGAGTAAATGTCCTCCCAGGAGGGCGAGCCTGGCCTCTGGCAGTGACCTCCTGACTGGGATCCTGGCCTCAAGAATGCTACAGCACATATCACCACGTGACCAGAGAACTGGCAGAGGGCTGTCCTGGGCACCTGCTCCCGTGAGGCGTATGCCATTTCTGTAGGGTTCTCAGCCATAGTTGGAAGATTCGGGAACTACAGTTGAATGCTCATGTGGGGTGGGGTGGGGGGTGGAGTGGCTGCTCCCATAACAGCTGACCTGTAGTCTTCCAGGGCTGCTACGACCTGTTCATGCCTACGTGCATTTTGACAGGGGGTTCTGGGTCCCAGCCCTCCTCTCAGCCTGTGGATGGTGGACATGTCGTCAGCTTGAACGGCTGGGCACTGGGATTGGCAAAGAGCCCTGAACTGCCATTCTGCACTGCCATGCTCCAAGCTTTTGGGGCCTCCACTGGCTGACGTGGCATGACTCAAAATGAGGAGGAACAGCTGTAAACATTCACTAATAATCAGAACATGGACTGTACGAAGCATGAATCTAGGAAAATTGGACGTGGTCAAAAATGAAATGGAACACATAAAGACTGACATCCTAGGCATTAGTGAGCTGAAATGGACTGGTTTGGCCCACTTTGAATCAGACAACCATATGATCTACTATGCCAAGAATGATAAATTGAAGAGGAATGGCATGGCATTCATCATCACAAGGAATGTTTCAAGATCTGTCCTGAGGTACATGCTGTCAGTGATAGGATAATATCCATACTTCTACAAGAAAGACAAGTTAATAGTACTATTACTGAAATTTATACACCACCTACTGAAGCCAAAGATGAGGAAATTGAAGATTTCTACCAACTTCTGTAGTCTGAAATTGACCAAACGTGCAATCAAGATGTGTTGATTATCACTGGTGATTGGAAGGCAAAAGTTGGACACAAAGAAGAGTTACTGGTAGTTGAAAAATATGGCCTTGGTGATAGAAATAATGCTGGAGATCGCATGATGGAATTTTGCAAGACCAATGACTTATTCATTGCAAATACCTTTTTTCAACAACATAGGAGACTCATATTGACTACATCTGTGTCAAGAGGTGATGGAGAAGTTCAAAATCTTCAGCCA